TTTTTTTTTTTTTAACAACAAAAATGGAAGCTATACACGTGGACCTCGCCAGATGGGATACACAGGAATCAGACTGACTATATCTGTGCAAAAAGGGGGTAGAAAAGCTCAGTATCTTCAGTCAAAACAAGGTCAGGAGCTGACTGTAGAACAAACCATTAAATTGCTTATATGTAAGATCAAGTTGAAGATGAAGAAAAAGTAAGTTCAAGAGCCAAAATATGATCTTGATTATATCCCAGTGGAATTTAGAGACCATCTGAAGAATAGATTTGGGCACCCAACACAAATGACAAAAAATCAGACGAGTTGTGAGATAACATCAAGAATATCATACAAGAAAGCAAAAGATCATTAAAAAGACAGGAAAGGAAGAAAAGACCCAAATGGATGTCAGAAGGCACTCTGAAACTTGGCCTTGAATAGAAAGTAGCTAAAGCGAATGGAAGAAATTATACAAGAGCAGAACAGAAGACTTTAAAGGACAACTCAAGAAGACAAAGTATTATAATGAAACATACAAAGACCTGGAGTTAAAAAACCAAAAGAGAAGAACACATCCAGCATTTCTCAAGATGAAAGAACTGAAAGAAAAATTCAAGCCTTGAATTGCCATAATGAAGGATTCTATGGGCAAAATATTGAATGAGGCAGGAAGCATAAAAAGAAGATAGAAGGAATACACAGAATCCCTGTGCCAAAAAAGAATTGGTCAATGTTTAACTATTTCAGGAGGTAGCATGTGATCAAGAAATAATGGTATTGAAGGAAGAAGTCTAAGCTGCACTGAAGGAACTGGTGAAAAAGCAAGGCTCCGGGAATTGACAGAATACTCACTGAGATGTTTCAACAAACGGATGCAGTGCTGGGGGTGCTTACTCGTTTATGCCAAGAAATTTGGAAGAAAGTTACCTGGCCAACTGACTGGAAGAGATTGATATTTGTGCCCATTCCAAAGAAAGGTGACCTAACAGAATGTAGAGATTATGGAACAGTATCATTAATATTGCACCAAGTAAGATTTTGCTGTAGATAATTAAAAAATGGTTGTAGCAGTATATTGACAGGGAACATCCAGAAATTCAAGCTGGATTCAGAGGACATGG